TTTGGGTAAACTCTGGGAGTTGGTGATGGACAAGGAGGCCTGGCATAGTGTGGTCCATGGGGTTGCAAAGAATCGGACACAACTGAGCAACTGAACTGAACTGAGGTATTCTTTCTGTAGTGTGCAGTCACTAAGGTCATCCACCAAGAAGGGGCTTTAATCCCAGACCTGAAGAATGAAATGGAAAGAGCACCGAGGAAGTGAATTGGGTTGAGATATTTCAGTTTACTCAGAGAACAGTCCACCTTTTTCCATAAATGTCCTGATATAAAATATTCCTAATAGGGCCTGCCTCTGAAGATATGTCTCAGAGTTAGACATGATTTTTGAAAGTATATAATAAAAGGCTAAAGATTGCCTAAGTTTCAGCACCTATTGCTCCAAAATAAAAGAAAAAAACACATTTATAGATTTTGACCAAGTTACTTTGAATCTAATTGGTTTTTAAGAGAACCAGCATAGTTAGGCTGTGTGACAATATAATAATAATGAAACTAATACAACACTATAAATCAACCATACCTCAATTTACAAAAAGAATTAAAAACAAATGAAGTGAAAGTGAAAGTCACTCAGTCATGTCTGACTCTTTGCGACCCCATGGACTATGCAGTCCATGGAATTCTCTGGGCCAGAATACTGGAGTGGGTAGCCTTTCCCTTTTCCAGGGGATCTTCCCAACCCAGGAATTGAAACCAGGTCTCCCACATTGCAGGCAGATTCTTTATCAGCTGAGCCACAAGGGAAGCAAAAACAAATAAACAACAAAAAAATTATAGCAGCCACTGAATGAGTGCTTGCTATGAGCCAGGTACCATAAATCTTTCCTCTTCCAATACTCACAGCAACCCAATGACAAAGATTCACTTATTATCCTCATTTCATAGATAAGGAAACCAAGTTTAAGATAGGCCTGAGTCAATACACAGCATCACTTGGATTAAGATGCTGTGCTTCTTATTTCAAAATCACATCTTTACCCACTGCACTTCATGTACCTAAGCACTGTGCTTGGCAGGAGCATACAGCACTACCCCCAAGGATGATGATGTGACAAAAAAGAACTGCTTGACTTCTTTATGTTTGATTTGTTCAGCAATAAGTGTAAATAATAGCTGCCTCTTTATCAGGCAGAGTAATGGGAGATAAGACTGGTTTTCCCTCTTGGTTTGATTGCAAAGGAGGCAGCTAGGCCATGTCAGTTCATAGCTGTGAATGGAAATAAGAGGCTACTTACAGAGTGTGGTTTATGTAGGTGGCCCAACTGAAGTTGCCTCATCTAGACAATGGGTATAATAATAATAGTACCTACCTCCTAGGGTGTTGGTAAGGATCTAGTGTACTAATATATGTAATAGATTTAGGACAGTGCTTGACAAATAGCACTCACTATCTAAATATTGGCCATTGTTGGTATTAAAAATAGAAACTTGGCTACCAGGGATCCCTGTGGCCATAAATATATGTAACCACCAAACAGAGATAGGGGAGAAGTCCCCATTCACCCTGGCTTTTTCTCGGTAGGCATTTAGTTAGGATGATTGGCTAGCTATAATCTTGGCCAATGGTAAGCAGAGCTCAAAGAATATGACAGGGATGGAGAAATAAGGTTATCAGAAAATAATAATAGCTCCTAATCTTTACCATTTCTATAATCAAGCATCACATTAAGAGTATCCCAACTTGGGAAAAAAAGAGTATCCCAACTTGGTCTTGCCTAATCCTCACAGTTCTGTGGGGTAGGTGTTAGTAACTTTCTCTTCCACTCCCACCTCTGTGAAAAGACAATAGGAAGTGATGGGAGAGGTGGGGGATGGGGGGTGGGGTGGGGTTCCTGCAGGGTTCCTGGGGGCAATGTTTTTCTATACTTCCAGGCAGTTAAGTGCCTTTTCCAAGGACATCAGTGCAAGTCTGAGTAAGAAAAATAATTTCTCCCTCCTAAGCCATGGCACATCAGCTGTAGGAAAATACCAGTATGGGAAGCAGTCTTCGGGAGAGCCTCAATGAGTTCATACCATCTAGACACATTACCCCCAACTTGCCCTTCAAGTTCTACTTCAGTTTGATAAAGCTGTAAATTCAACACTGGCACAAAAGGTCAGAGTCAGTTTCAGGCCTGTGTATGTTTGACTACCTTCCCTGAGGAGTTACTGAGATTTCAAACATCTGAGACATTGTCTGCAGAATTGAAGGGCTCTCTAAATACACACAAATTCTGCAATAATGTGTAGAATTTTGAATTGAATGATGTTGAATTCAGAGAGGTGACAGAACTTATTAAATTGGATAAAGTGAAAATTGTAGCCTGTGATGGTAAAAACACTGGCTCCAGTGCTACAGAATGAATGGGGAGAAATGGCTTTTTAATGACATTCAGTTATCGTTCAAGTCTTTTTGAAGAAAAGCATAGAAAACTTTTAAAAAAATGAATCCTAGGGACTTCCTTGGTGGTCCAGTGGCTAAGACTCCATGCTCCAAACGCAGGGGGGCATGGGTTCGATTCTTGGTGAGGGAACTGGATCCCACATGCTGCAAATAAGAGTTTACATGCCACAACTAAGACCTGGCACAACCAATAAATATAAAATTAAAAAAAAAATGTATCCTAGCATTGAGGAAATGACTACACTGTGCCATACTATCAGATAATTCCAGTAGAAAGAAGCTTATCACTCTGTACCCTCTTATATTACCTTTATTATACAGCATGAAGAAGTAGAAATTTTGTTAAAATGACAAATCAAACATTGCTGCCTTCCTAAGATCATTCTTTAATAAATTCATTTTAAAACTCAAAAAAAAAAAAGTGATGAGGATTCCTGTCTGGGCAATATGACACACCACAATTACATCACAGGTTTGCGGAAATAGATTATAGGCCCCCCAAATACTTTGAGTTCCCTCCTTTAAAATTAGATTTTAAACCCTAGGCCACAAGAATCAATGGTACTGTCTGAGAAATTCTGAGTGAAGCCTGTTGACACAAGTGCATTTGAAAGTTCAAAACACCAACAGATTTGTACTCTCTGTTTAGAAAGAAAGGAGGGAGGAGGGAAAATATCTACCTCCCAGTTTTTATAAAGTTTGGGTTAAATTTATACTTACTCTTTTTTGCTGTTGTTGTTTTATAATTGCTTTATTAACTTTACACTTTCCCATGTAAATAGTGCAACTCTACTGTTGACAGAAATTTAAGAGTGCCAAGGCAATCTCCAGCTATACGCTGGTAACACAGAACCCAGAATACAGAACCACAAAATACGCTGGCACTTAGAAATTACATAAGGTTCACAGCCAGTGTATCGGTAAAATGCAAGGAAAAAGAGGCCAACAGTGGGAATCGCACTATTAATCTCATGGAACATGGCAGGAGTCAAGGCATAAGGCAAAATTCCTCATGGTGGTCATGGTGATTTGAGAGCTTCCCCATAAGGATACGTAGACAATTCCTCAGCTGCAGCTCCCTTAGTTTTCTCATCTCTGCTATGAATATTTACATATCATCTCTATCTCCATCACTGACCCACCTATTGGGTATGGTCTGTTGGAAATTAGGGGCAAGGTGGCAAGCCTGTCTTCCTCTATTATTTCCTGCTGGCTGGTGGCCCTAGCCCCTGCCCAAAGGACAGTCTTCCTCTCCATTCTGCATAGGCTGTTCCATTTCTTTGTTTTCCCGGGCCTATCCTCATTGTCTCCTGCTCCGCTGATTCTCACCACAAGTGCGCTGCCACACCACTTAATCCTGCAGGCCTGATCCTCTTCCCCTGGCCTGATGCCAGCCCACCGTGCACAGAGCAGTAGGGAGTTGGTACCCAGGTAGGAGTCTGTGCTTATTTTTTATACTTATTTCTATCTTGGAGAGCTAAGATAAATTAATTGAAATTTCCAAGACTTGTTACTGGAAATGCCAATGAATTTTCTGTAAGAGTCAGAGGTTTGCTTTTATAATTATCTTTATGGGTTGTTTTCACCTTACAACTATATTTTTGTTATAGAAAACTAAATGCGTTACAATGTAGGTCCTCTCCAAAGTTGAAAAGTAGGTCATAGGAAGATGGATTTGCTCACTAACCCTATGATAACTAACCTGCTGAGCATAACTGCATATTATAATGAATGCAAACAAAATATCAAAACTGGGAAGTTTCTTCTTATATTAAAAAAACCCCAAAACAAAACCCAAAGTCCTCAAGTGACATATGAGGCCCTACAGGGTCAGGTGTCCTGCCACCTCTTCGCTCTTATCTCCCTGTTGCCCTGGTCCAGCTGTCTTGACCTCCCTGCTGGTCCTTTAACACACCAGACATGGTCCTGCCTTTGTACCTTTGGACTTGCTGTTCTATCGGCTTAGAAAAGCCTCTCCCCCTGATTAAGGGTCTGATTTGCTCCCTTACTTCATTCAAGTTTGTTATCACTTCTTCATTCAAATTTGTTATCACTTATCACTCCTTCAGGGCGACCTTCAAATTATTTCATCTAAAATTGACCCGCCCACCCCATGCTCACATCCATCATCTTCTATTCTTTGGCTTGCCTTTTCTGTCCCATGACACAAGTCACCATCTGATACTTTATTATATACCTGTTGATTGTTGATTGCTGGTTTCCCCTACCAGAATGTAAGCTCCATGAAAGCAAATCTTGGTTTTGTTTACTGCTGTATCCCCAGCACTGGAACAATGCCTGGTGCCCAGCAGGTACTCAGTAAATGAATCAAGTGAAACTAATCAAAAGATCTGGGTTCCATGACAGGAAAGAGCTTGCACTGGGAACGCTGTACCAGGTAGTTTAGAAGTTGCAGAGCACAGAGCTAGAAAGGACCTTGAAATCCCTGGGGGTTCACAGAAACCTTGGGGTGAGTACCAGACTTTATGAAAGGAGTGGAAGAGGAAATATGGAGTAACTCTAACGGATACCTGTCTCATACACACATCGTCTTATTTCATCTTAGTATCACAACAGATGAGGAAATTGAAGATCAGAAAGGTGAAGTGACTTACCCAAAGATTTTCAGCAAAGTAGCAGGGCCGGAATCTGAAATCAGCTCTATCTGACTCTAGAAACCATGTTCTTTCCAAGACACCACACAGCTGAGGAGAAAGTTTGGCAAAGGGTATTTGTTCAGTTAAGTAATTGTTGAAGGAATGAAAAAATGCTTCATAGAGAAAGTGATTGTTCATTTGGTCTTTTTTGAGATCAAACAGCCTTAGGGAAAGACCAAAAGCAGACCAAGAGAAAGAAGCAGCTTGGACAGAAAGTTTTAAGATTAGGCAGTGAGGTGAGGAGCTGTCCAGGGAACACTGAGTATCTCAGCTTAGCTGGGTCTTAAAGTGTTGAAGGAGCATTTGGGAAGATCAGGTCTCCAAGGACTTGAATGTGAAAGATCTTGACAGCTTGGTTATGGAATTTGAGCTTTACCACGAGACAACAGGGAGCATTAAGCTGTAATGTGGTCAGACACTACTCTGGGAAGTCATTCTGGGGCGCTGGGGACAGGGTTAAAAAAGCATCTTTTGTAATAGTCCCTGTGAAGGGTTATTGCCAAAGAAATTAATTCTCTCAATCCATGAGAGAGGTTGAGAGTTGAGGTTAAAACCAGCCCCCACCGACACATTCACACAATAGCCACTAGTTGGCAGCAATGTTCCAAGAAATCAGTTGGCCAGCCCCTGCAAGTAGCAGCTTCCTCAGCCAACTCCTTGGGCTGTCCTGGGATATGGTGGAACACAGAGAAAGTGAGGGGATCAGTCTTTGTGGAGGGAACCCCAAAGGCACATAGGGGAAGGAGTATGTGGAGGTCAGAGGACAGAGTGATCAATGCCTGAAGGATGGTTGCGTTGGGGCAGGGGTAGGGGGTGGGGGCTGGAGGCAGTGGAGAGAGGAGGCTACATCTGAGAGCTAGAAACATTGCAAACAGCCTTGAGTTTCCAGGCTAAGAAAGCTGAATGTTACCCTGAGGGAAATGGGAGCCCAGGAAGGGTTTTAAGTAGAAGAGAAACATGCCGAGATTTGCCTTTTAGAAAGATCACAAAGATGATTGTGTGGAGAATGAAGGGAAAGAGACAGGAAGTGAGGAGAGCAATGAGGAGGTGCTGCAGTGACCTCTGTAGAGAAAAGTGGTCTGAACCAGGGCCAGCAATGGCAGTGGACAGAACAGGTCAGATTTGTAAGAGACTTACATAAAAACCATAGAATGAGAAAGAGGGCATCAAAATGTAGTTTTCATAGAAGAGAATGAATATTCTCTCCCCATTATTAAGAACACATTCTGAATTGTTGGATTTTCTCCCTAAAACTGCATTGGGAGGACTCAGATCGTGGAACTTCTTTTAGGTCTAAATTCACTCAGCAATCCTGACCAGTCTGTGGTGGGAACTGGCAACAAAGGAATGATTTAGCAGTTGCCTCCCCAGTTTGGGGGAATAAGTCAACTCCTGTACAGCGTCGAGGTGGCTTTGCTGAAGGAAATATAGGATGCTGTGGGGTCCAGCGCGGGAACCTGATCCAGGGATCCAGGGAGAATAGACTTTTGAGCCTGAGACATCAGATAAAGGTTCTCACAAAACTGTAAGCTAAGCATTGGAAAAGAAGGGAGTTTGGGAGGAGCCCCGTTACCTATTTACTCCTTTTCGTCACAAGCCGTCACCTTTTGTGCTATAAGGTATCCCAGGGGAGCTACATTCCTCAGGATGCCAGCGCTAACCCAGACACGGTCGCCAGCTCTTAGAGCAAACGCACCTCCCTGAAGACAGAGGACCACAGAGTCCCTTACTTGGTCCTGGACCACCGCCAGGAGCAGCCAGGCTGTGATTGGTGGGAGCCTGGGACCCGCCCCTCACCAGCCCAACATTGCGGTTCTGATTGGTGAAGACACTGCGTAGCCCCGCCCTCCCCGCGAGTAGACAATGGAGGTTAACCACGTGGGTGCGGGAGTGCCCAGCCGGCTCTGAAGCACCGGTGTTAAGGGTCTATGGGGAAGATGAAAGATCGCCCTGGCACCAAATCTACACTCACGATGGATTGCGGCCTCTAGAGAACAGGCGTCAAGGGACCGGAAACTGTGCCTCCTTAAGAATGTGGACCCACGCTGGGGCGGGCGGGGACTCCAGGCGCCTGCGTGCACCTCGCAGTTTGGGAAATGGTGGCATCCGGCACGTTGGTGCAAGCCTTGTGAAGGGCGGGAACCGGGGAGTAGATTCTCGGACCTTTTCAAACCAAGGTCTGGAGCCCTGGGCTGTGGCGGGGCTAGAGTGTTTCCAGGCTCTGCCCTATCTCGGCGCTATCTGCTTTGCATCCCTAAGCTCTGGCCGCTAGCGTGCCTCTTCGGCCCTAACCCCACCCCTAGTCCGTTTCCTTCCGGTGGGACAGCAGCCTGTGTCACCATAGGTTTTTAAGAGCCCCGAGTGCACACCTGGCAGCAGGGGTCTCTGACTCTTTGCACTAACCCGCCTAGGGCCCCAGCGAACTAACTCCTTTCAACAGAAGACTTTTGAGGACATGGACATGTGATAAGTCCTCCTTCATCGCACCTGGCCCCTGCGCGTCATCGGTTCACCACCCTGCCTGCCTGCTCAGGCAAAGCACACCCCTTCTCTGAACTTCCCTCTGTGAGATGATGGCTGACTCTTCAGGTTCTTTATACCTAATGATACCGATAGGCACTGCCAACTAGGATGTACTTTGTTTCCCTTCTCGCCCTCTACAACCCCTCTTCATGCCAAGCAGGTTTTAGTCTCACCTGTGTGCAGTTATGAAAGCTTCCACAGGTATATCCCACCCCACCCCCCAAGATTTTGTCAGATGAACCTCTAGGGACAAATATCTTTAGTGCTTCTATTTCATCAACTGTCTTCTGCCTGCCTGCTCTGTGCCAAGCACTGTATTTAGTACTGGACAGCCAGAAGAACCAAATTGACTTCTTTCTGTGAAATTGAGGCTAGTGGAAGAAATAGGAACTTGTGATAAACATATAGTGCCACAGGAAAGAAACAAAGTGCTCTTGAAATTCAGGGGTTGGGAGAATGGCATGAGAAATCTTTCCAGAGTGTGCAGTAGCCTATAGGCTGTATCATACAGGGCATTCTGAATTAAGTAGATGGAAAAAGGCAGCTTAACAGCTCACTCTGCCCATGCAGTGAACATGGTTCATTGGAGGGGATGGGAGTTTGAGGGGAGGACTGAGCTATAGGGTAGGTGGTGTGCAGTATAATTTTTTTTTTCTTCTTTGCCACACCATGTGGCTTGCAGGATCTTAGTTCCCCTGACCGAGGACTGAACCTGGGCCACACAGTGAAAGCATCAGGGAATTCCTGCAGTATAACTTAAAAGCAGGGGTTTTAGCATATTTGCTGTGAACCTTCAGGCACATTAACCTCTTTGAGTCTGTCAAACATACAGAGATAGTACCTACCTCACTTTCAAGATAATGCATATCAAGGCCTGAGCATCAAGGTCAGCACATAGCTGTCATTCTTTTGAATACCAGCTATCATTTGTGAAGAAAAATGGGAATGCCTCAAATGCCACAATTTTTAGGTAAATCTCTAGGTAATAGAGAGCAAACAGATTTTTAAGCAGTAGAGGGTGTTAACCAACGGTGCTTGGAAATAACTGGATCTTGGAGTCAGAAAGTCTGAAGCTGTTCTAAGAGTGGCTTCTCTCCCATTCCCATCCAAATCTGCCTACCCTCAATCCACACGCATTTCAAAACCATGTTTCTAAAAACCAGCCATTTATATCTGCTTAAGTAAGTTACAGAGGGAGGAAGGTGGTGTATTTACAAGTTGGTTTGTCCAGATATACTATAACTTAGTGTCTGTATTTAACATTGACAACCAAAAAATATATATAAATATCTTCCAACTATACACAGCAGGGCAGGAGTGTCCAGGTCTTCTTGCATAGTGAGTTCCCAGTTTCCCATGGCCCCCCTCCTCTCATGGAGATTGTCTGGCCCTCAGTGCAAAGGAGACTAGCACCTGGCAGCCCAGTCTGGCCCCCCCGCTCTCCTCCCTGCACTCCAGTGCTCCCAACTCGTCTCAGGCAAGGGAAGATTAATTTGAGTGGTTGGGTAGGAAGAGACGGCAATAGGCAAAACCTAACAGAGCCTGACCCCTAGGTTGGGGAGACCCAGGCCCACAGAAGGGGTGGCCATAGCCACCTCTTGGGGTAGAAGACTCATAGTTTGCAGTTCGATTAGTGTGTCCTTAGGTCATAGGTCCAGCCCTACAGATTAGCTTGGGAAAGAAGGCAAGTGTCTAGGCAGGGCTTGGTCCCACCCTCAGGCACTGAGCCGTTTAGGGTGAAGCCAGGGATGTGGGTGAAGGAGACTCTGGCTGATAAAAAAATAATAACAAAATCAGTAATAAAAAATTATAAAACCTGTTGCTTGTCTGAATAGATCTGAGCAACAGTCTTTTGTTAAAATCCTGGAGCCGTTAATGTCCTGAATTTTCTTCTGGACATCACTGCTGGCTGAAGGAAGGAGCCCCAGGCCCGGCTCTGCTGAGATCTATCAGTTTGAGAGTCTCATCCAGCTGCCTGCGTGCTGACAGATCCTTGGGCCGCTGGGAGCAGACCAGGCTGGACGTGTGGGGCACCTCACACTTGGGAATCAGCTCCCAGGGGGTGGAACAGCTCCTCAGGTGTCTTGTCACTTTGGCTTGCTCCTCCCTGCCGGAAGCCGGAAGCAATCTCATCGAAGGTCCGGCCTTTTGTCTCGGGAACTTTGAAGTAGGTGAAGATGAAGAACAGAACCAGGAGCACAGTGAAGATGATGAAGACGTAGGGTCCGCACAGTTCCTGAAAGACACATAGAAACACTTGGTTGGAGACCTGACGCTATGTCCTGCCCTTAGGATGGACAGTCATTTTACCTTTGGGTCCTTGATCTGAAAAAGGGAACACCCACCTACAACCCAGGACTCTGCTGAACCTGGCATGTGATAAGAGCAGGTTCTGATGGCAGAGCAGAATAGACAATTCAAAGCTAAGGCAGGAACCCTGGAGTGGAGGTCAGGGTTCTGAGCCTGTCTCCTCCCCAGTGTGATCCCAGTAAGAATAGCAGGGACAGCGTCTTGCACAGCACTGTGGGTCCTGGGTGCAGGAGAGAAACTCTGGAGCGCGGGGACTCTGGCGCTCTCACCTGCACATACTGGAAGCACATGCCCACGATGAAGTTCGAGGTCCAGTTGGAGAAGCCGGCGACGGCAATGGCAGCAGGACGAGGGCCCTGGCTGAAGAGTTCAGCCACAATGAACCACGGGATGGGGCCTGGGCCCACTTCGAAAAAGGCCACGAAGCCAAAGATGGCCACGATGCTCAGGTAGGACATCCAGGGCAGCCGCTCCTGTTGAGGATGAGAGAGGGGAGGAAAGTTAGGCTGGGCTGTGTTGGGTCCACAGAGGAAACCAACTTCAGGGACAGGCCAGGGCAGGCTCAGAGCTCTGGCAGGCAGGAGGCCTCGGGCTGGTCCTGGATTTGCTGTGTGACTTAGGTACCCTGTGCCAGGTCTGTTTTCTCATCTGAACAAAACAGTTTAAGCCCTGCATGGTGCTTGTGAGCTTGCGTCTGCCTCCAGGAACGGTCATGTAGTTGCATGCAGGAGGTGCTAAGAAGAAGTCCCTGTGGTCCCCTGGCTCTGGCTGTGGAGCAATCTGCTTATGGCGGGAGGATGTGGAAGAACATTCCTGGGGGTGGCTGTCAGAGGCTTGTAAGGTACCCAGCTCAGGACCAGCATTGGGCAGGCATGAAGTTCCACAGAGAGCCATTCTCGAGGAGACCACAGTAGAAGAGTTATATGATTTTGTTCCAGATTCCAGATCCCCTGCTTATCACCTATGGCGTGCTGGGCCTCTCAGTCATGAACATACTCTCTAAGCCTTGGTGCAGCTGTAAAATAAGTGTCCTTGTGTTTTCCTTGCCCAAACACTGGACAAGCGAGTGGTGTGTGAAGTGCCTGGGATAAGGTTATCATAGAGGTTATAGTCACAGGCTTGGGGCCAGCAGACCTGAGGTTGATTTCCTGGCTTTATCTGCCGCATTACTAACCTCACCCGGAAAGGGGTGGGGAGGGGGAAGTTTCCTCACTGGAGAAGTGGAAATATTGACTGAACTGCTCCTGTGCGTCCTGAGGACTGAGTGAGATAAGGCATGTTTCCACGCCTCTGTGGTAAGGAGGGCACTGCTTTCCAGGGCTGTTTACAAGAATTGAGGCTGCAGAGGAAGACTTTGCAGAGCAGCTCTAGGGGCGAGGGAACTGGCAGGGCTGGAGGTGTGGTGGTGAGGAAGCACCAGGCAGGGAGGAGCTGGTTTAAGACCGGATGAGAGTGGAAAGAGACAGCACGAGGAAGCCGAAGGTCCGGCCCAAGCCCGGGGCTATGGGTGCGGCAGAATGAGGGTGAGGGCAGCCCCACCTGGGGTCCAGCCAGCCTGGGACTGAGAGGAGCACCTTGGGATCAGATGCCCACGTGAGCTCCACGTCACCCTTCCTCTCCCCCTCCCCCCTGCCATCCCACCTCACCCCCAGAACACAGCAACTCACCAGCAGCGCCAGCGCGATGGTCATGAGCACTGCACAGCCTGCCATGCCGGCCAGGCCAATGAGATGCAGGGTCCGCCGGCCGGCTCGTTCCACCACAAATAGCTGTGGGCAGAGAGAGTGTCGATGCCTCCCCTCCTGGTGCCCCTCCCTCCAGGCGGGTCCCCCCCAAGTGCTGGGAAAGCCACAGGGTGCCGCAGAGATGGAGTGGCAGATGGATTGCCTCTTCCCTGGGGCTGGGCTCGGGGACTACATAGGATCCCAGGGGGTGAGAGCTGCCCACGAGAGCCAGACAGCTGAGCATTCTGGCTGTGGCCTTGGGCCAGCCGATGCACTTCTCTGAGCACCAGTGTCAACTGATACGAGTGATGAACTTGACAAGTTGTTGAAGATGAAATGAGAGAGCACTTAGGGAGCACGTGATGCCTGCCTGGCTCACAGTAAAGACTGCTGTTCGGTCACGAGGCCCCGAGGCCCTGAGACCACAGGCTGGACCCCAGCTGCTGGCTGGCTGTGGGCAATGACGCGGAAGACTCACCGACACGACAGTAAAGGCTGTGTTGACGATGCCGGAGCCGATGGTGGCATACACGGGCTGCTGCACCCCCGCCTTCTTGAAGATGCTTGTGGAGTAATAGAAAACCTATGGGGACACAGTAGTCGGGGCTCAGCCGGGTGCTCTGGCGCTTCCCCAGCCTCTGTCCCAGTGGGTGCAGAACACACGGTCAGTAAAGGACACCGAAGACGACACTGCACAAGGGCCCTTCTGAGTTTGGGTTCTAAAGGAGAGCTGCTCCTCGGGCAGGGGTCTGTCTGCTGTTTCAGGTGTGGGATCTGTCCACAGGATGCCTTGGGCCCCAGGGATTGGCAGGGGGCACAGGAGAGGGTGGGTACGGGACACTCACAGCGTTGATGCCGGACAGCTGCTGGGACAGCTGCAGCACCACGGCGATGAGGATGGGCTGGCGGTAGGCTGCCGAGCGGAACAGCTCCAGGATGGTGACCTTCTTCTCCCGCATCATCTGCCGGCTCTCCTCCTTCATCTCCTGCAGGTCGCGGGTCACATCCGCGGTCCCACGCAGCTTCTTCAGCACTGAGGGGACCGGAGGGAAGGCGGGGGTGGCTCAGTGCGGGGAGGAGGCTGGGGCTGGGGGCGGGGAGGGGCAGGGCCCGCCGTACCGCTCTTGGCCCGGTTCTCCTCGTTGCGGTTAATGAGCAGGAAGCGGGGGCTCTCGGGGCAGAAGGGCAGCAGGACGCACTGCAGCAGGGCCGGGATGAAGATGACGCTCAGCAGCAGGGGCCACAGATCCTGGTTGCCCATGATGGAGTCCAGGCCGAACACCTGGGGGAGGCAGGGCGGGAGCAGCGGCTGTGAGCGCCCGGCTCAGGGCTCGCTCCCGCCCCGCTCCGCCCAGGAGCCTTTCCCCGCTTCAGAGAGGGGGCTGTAGTTCTGAGTCTAGTTGTGCCACTAATGTGAGGCTTAACTTCTCTGAGGGGGCTTCCCTCATAGCTCAGTTGGTAAAGAATCCGCCTGCAATGCAGGAGACCCCAGTTCGATTCCTGCATCGGGAAGATCCGCTGGAAAAGGGAAAGGCTACCTATTCCAGTATTCTTGGGCTTCCCTTGTGGCTCAGCTGGTAAAGTACCTGACCGCAATGCGGGAGACCTGGGTTCAATCCCTGGGTTGGGAAGATCCCCTGGAGAAGGGAAAGGCTACCCACTCCAGTATTCTGGCCTGGAGAATTCCATGGACTGCATAGTCCATGGGGTCACAAAGAGTCGGACCCAACTGAGTGACTTTCACTTTCACTTAACTTCTCTGAACCTCGGTTTCCTCATCTGTGACAAGGGGGAAGCAGGACCTGCTTAACAGCATTTGGGGGGTGGTGGGGATAAGATAGCAGGATGGCAAACGTGTCTGGCAGGGGGCAGGGGGACTGCTACCTTGCCACAGGATGATTTGGGGATGGAGAAGGGAGAGCCCTGAGAGAGGGGAGTGCGTACACATATACAGGTATCAGGGCCTGGAGGTGTGAGAGAGACGATGCCAGGTTGGGAAACCAGTAGGCTGCCCTGTGCTTGGGTGCCCAGGGTGAGAAGAAAGGAGGCAAGGCTGACTGGGTGGGGATGAGAAAGGTCAAGGCAACTGGACTTGCTCTCCCACCAGTAATGGGGAAGTGGGGAGGATGATGAACGTGGTGTGTTCTTGGGACCTGTGCCTCAGATGTGGCCACGAGGCTGTCCTCTCCAGGGCTGTGGAAGGCTGGGCAAGGGGTCGAATCTGGACACACACCCGAGGGATGGAGCCATGGGTGGGTGCTTACCTGGGCGATGAGGATGCCGACGACGATGCCCAGCTGGTGCAGTGTGCCCAGAGCCCCTCGAAGCTCCGTGGGGGACACCTCCCCCACATACATGGGCACAAAGCCAGTGGTCAGGCCGCAGTACACACCAATGATGAAGCGACCCAGGATCAGCATCTCAAAGGACTTGCCCAGTTTTGAGAAGCCCATGAGTACAGCGGACACGAAGGCCAGCAGGTTCATCATCAGCATTGAATTCCGCCTGGGGGGGGGTGCAGGTGATGAGTGGAGGAGGTCACAGGTCAGGCAGGTCCCTGGAGACCCCTGGAAACCCCAGGGGCTGGGTCATAGATAATGCCCTAGGACAGGCAGAGAAGGCCCCCTCACCCCCTGAACTCCAAGCTGGGACTCCCTGGGCAGGGCCAGAACCCCTTCTGCTCACCGGCCAAAACGGTTAACAAAAAGGCCCACGGAGAAGGAACCAATCATGCCTCCCACTGAGAAGATGGCTACGGACAGGGACCAGAGTGTGGTCAGCGTGGTGGGCGGGATGGGGTCCCCATAGCGCTGGATCCATGTCTGGTTGTAGAACTCTTCAATCACCTGCAAGAGAAGCAGCAGCCTGGTGGGTGAGGCCGGGACCCATCGTCCTCTTCTCTCTCACTCCTCCTCAAAGAGGACCATTTTACCCCGGGATGCTGGAAGGGGCCCAGGGTCCCAGCCCCAGGCCCTTCCCCTTTGGTGGGCTTCAGTGACCCCCGACCCTCACCTCCTCGTGAGAAACAAGGGGCTGGACTCGGTCTGCAAGGGAGAGTGGTGCCAGCTCTCACACCACCCCCAGGTGCAGGACCCAGGGCCCTGTGGCTTCCGGTGCCCAACAGGACTTTCTGGGGATGACGGCAAGTGACCAGCACTGGGAGTTCAGGCAGTGCAGAGGGGCTCAGAGACAGCGCTTCCGCCTGCATGCCCCCTTTCTGCAAGGTGCCTAAGGCCACTGGCCACTCTGGCTCTCTCCCCAACCCCCCTTCCTGGAGAGGAAATACAGCTGAACAGAGGCCCTGGGAGGAAGGGAGCAGCAGGCTCACTTTGCACTCAGGGTCTGATGTGAACATCTTGCACCCAAATGCTCGTGAGACCAAGCTGCCACTTTCTATCCCCCAGGCCCAGCCCCTCCCGCCTGGCCTGGGAGATCCCCCCTGAAGGACAGATGGCCTCGTCCTCTCTCCCAATTGCCCAGCTGGGAGGTTCGGGGAAAAGCTGCAGACAAGGAAGCAGTTCCAGGAACTGGAGACACCTGTCCTAGAACAGGCCTGCCCGCTAGCCCTGCCCCCACCAAGGGGAGGGCCTGGCCGCTCAGGCCCGGGAATGTGGCAGGCGGGCAGCACCGGTTCTGCCTACGCACACTGTCTGCTCTCAGGTGACACAGATACATGCCCACTGCCTCAGGACGGGCCAGACACACCCAGCCACATGTGTAGCTGGGCACAGGCCCAGTGTACCCAGAAACAACTTCCTGTGTACCCAGGCCATCACACACTCACACACACATACACATACTCGTGCTCACATAATCTGAGTATTCCCGGCTTCAGCAAGTCACAAACCTGCATGCCCCTGCTGCCCTTACCACCTGCAGCTCAAACTCAACTCCACACCAGCCCAACCCAGGTGCACCCCTCCCCACTGCAAGTTTGGGTACCCTGGGCTGTATGCAGTCTCTCATACAGCACGATTTCCGTCGGCACTGGTCTTTGACTGTCCTTAACCTTTTCAAGCCCCACAGTCCCAGGAATGCCCACTCAGTGATCTATTTGTCTGTCCAGGGAAGCTGGACTCAACCAAGTTCAGACTCAGCTCTACCACTCATCTCCAGGGCAAGTAATTGTATTTCTAATGATGACATTAGCAATAGCCACTTCATAGTGCTGTGGGGAGTTAATGAAACACACTTGCAGTGCTCACACGGTGCTTGGGGCCACCACTGAGCCGAGGAGCCCACCATGCATGTTTCAGTTCTGATTCAAGGGCAGTGCAGGCCACTGACAAAGGCTGACGGAGCCTGCATCCCATAAGTCAAAATCATGGCACTTGGTAGTGACGCTGTCTTTGGCTTAGGCACTGGTTCCCCACCTTCCACAGTTACTCCCCGAGGGCCTGCCCTGCCTTACCAGGCTGAAACCTTTTGAAATCCAGCTCAGAGGGTTCCAGGAGTCCGTCCTCCCTGAGGGCAGGGACCCCAGTGGATTCACCCCAGGGCCTGTCCCAGGGCTTACACAGGATGAAGGAAGCCATGAAAGGGCTTAGGCTTTCCTCCTAGAAACCCTTACATCCACCAGCGGCACAGAAAGCAGATTTCAACCAAACAAACACAAAGTGCTTGTGTTCTTCAAGGGACAAAACCAATCCCAGAGGAGGACTGCTTGGGCACAGCAATGCTCCATTTATCAGGCTCTGCAGAGAGCAAGCTGTCCTGGATAAGAAACTGCCCAGATAAGTGACCCTCACCCCTCAGGGGGCCCATCGTCTGCGTGGAAATCTTTCGCCCTCCTATCCCTTACCCTCTGTTGCCGTGAGCAACTGGACGCACAAGCAGGGCTTGAGTGCACTGCTGACCTTGGGGCTCTGCAGGGCTAAGGTGAGGTGTTTGCTCCAGGTGGCATTTAATTTTTGCATTCTGTAGTTTACCCCCACCCTCTGTGATTCAGAGGCTTGTCTCACAGAACTCTCCCCACATGCGTTTTAAAATCTGCCAACCCAGTTAATGAAGCTCATTTGAATTGTGTGCAAAGAGTCAATATGTATAGCATTTATGAGGTGTCGCCAGAGCCTCCCCAGTTACATCTCCTGCATATGGTGACAAGTCAGAGGGTCCAAACCCTGTTCCAGGTGAGCCCGGGTGAGTCTCTTTCTTGGCTCCTGAGCCCCTTGCTGCTTTGACCACTGTATGGGGTTGAGGGAGGCTGAGAAGCCAGCCCCCTCTACCCTGCCCCAGGTTCATCCTCTTCAGCCGCCAGCAGCACTTCCTGGCCGAGTGGAGGCTGCCTAGTGGGTTCCTGCCTCTGGACCTGGTACTTGAGATTTGTGGGAAGAAGCCGAGTGAGGTTTTCCTTTCCCGCATGTGGTGTGTAGACTCTCTATCCTCTCCCCCTGGGGGTGCATGCCCTATGTGGGGGATGAAGTTGACCCTTGGCTCAGGAAAGGCAGAGGGTCCCTCAAGAACAGAAGAACCCTACACGGGGAGAAGTTCTAGGGTCACCTCTCCCACCCAGCTGCTGCCCTCAGTATCATCCAGCAATGGCTGGGTGGCCCTCAGGGAAGAAGAGACTCTTTAGGGTTAGTCGCTCTGTCCTGTTTGACTCTTTGCAACCTCATGGACTGTAACCCACCAGGCTCCTCTGTCCATGGAATTCTCCAAGCAAGAATACTGGAGTGGGTTGCCATTTCCTTCTCCAGGGGATCTTTCCCAACCCAGGGATCGAACCTGGGTCTCCTGCATTGCAGGCAGATTCTTTCCAGTCTGAGAGCCTCCTTACTGCTTCCTTAACAGGATCCCACAGACCCACACTGAGGCTCCTGGCAGCCTCCTCAGCCGTGGCTCATATGTGAGGCGAGGCCTCACACGTACATCTTCTGAATGCTCCAGCCTCACATTCTGGTTACCAGCCAGGAAGATAGATACCCTTGGTCCTGCCACTGCCCCACATCCAGTCACTCAGCAGGTCCCATCCCTAAAATTCACCTCCTAACCTGTCCTCCTCTCTACCCACACAGCACCTGTCCTAGGTCTCACCTGGATTCCGCTCCTGACTCCTCCCACCCACTGAAGCCAGATTCCGATTCCCACCATTACTCCCAGACTTGGCAGTCAAGCCCTGGACGTCAAGTGGACCAGACTCAGCCCTCCTCGTCTCTGCTCCCCGTCCCAGCCCGTCCCCAGCCATTTCTGCTGTGTGCTAAGGAGAAAGGGCAGGTCCTGGTCAGCCCTGGCGCCAGACTCTCTGTCCAGGCATCCCCTCATTGGAGCCAGAGGGCAGAGTTTCCCTCGGCAATACTGTTGGGGGCCAGCAAGGAGAAGCAGGATGGCCCTGGGCAGCTGCCATCCCTTTCCAGTAACAAGCTTTTCCTCATTCCAGCCCTTCTTCTAGGGGTGAGGGTGGGAAGAGGTTTGTGTCATGTCTGACACCCCCTCCCTTCCATGCCTGAGTAGTAACTGTGGGTGAAGGACCACACATCTGCCCGTCTGGAGCGGAAGTTCTGACTTTCTCTGTCAGGGCAGTGTCTGTAGTGAGGCTCTGGGCATGAGGCAGAACCTACTGTCTGGCACTTGGAGTAAGCGTGTCACTGTTGTCTCAAGGAGAGAAGCCACCTCCTTGAGAGGAGCATTAGGGACAGAGTTTTCCATTTTAAAATTGCTGAAAAACAAAGCATTATCCTAACGAATGTATAGTATGAGAAAGAACTTGAATAACTAGGCGTTTGCCTTGGGGAGTAAAGCTCTATCTTCAGATCTTGCTGGCAGCCCCAGGCCGAGCGACCCAGCAGGTCTGCAGGACCCCAGGGCACAGACTTCATCTGGGGATGGGGTGGGGGTAGTAAGGAGAGCTTTCAAATAAGATTACCCATGTTACAGGTAGTGAGTCCCCTGTCAGCAGGGAGCATACAAGTCAAAATTTGGATCAGGGATTGGCATAAACAACTCATATAAAAGGATAGATAGAAAATATTAAGCTTTGCTGACCACATATGGCCTCTTCTCTGTTGCTTATTTTTCTTCCCTTTCTCTTCAAACTTCTAAACATGGGAAAAACCATTCTTAGCTCACAGTCCTACAAAAACAGGCTGCTGGCTGGATTTGGTCCCCCTGCCAACCCATGTTCTAGAATTCCAGACTACTGCCAAGAGAAGGGGTATATGTTTTGGAACTTCTGGCTGGTCTCAACTTCTTCCCTGGAGAGGCCTGGTCTTCTAGATCATCCCGAGAGGGAAAATCAGTGCTCTCTCAAATCTTTCTTCTCTCTTTTAGACATACTGTCAGGATGAGGGGGTTAAACAGACACTCAGTCTTTGAGCTCCACTTAGAAGGAAGAAAGGGCTGGCTTGTCCAGTTCAGTCCCTATTTCCCATTCCCTCCCCATCTCTCCCCCACATCTGGGGCTGCCGCCACCCCTCAGCCCAGAGGGGATGTCTCCACAGCCGGCCCAGCCACGCCCCAGGGTCAGCTGGGAGTTCAGAGACAGATGCTCCAGATGGGGCTGGACAGATAGCTTCTGGGTTCCCCTGGGGGCCTCTCCCTGGGGCCTGGGGAAGAGGCCCAGGCAGCCAGATGGAGCTAGAAGCTAGGCCCCACCCCCAGAGCAGATGACAGGACCTCCCAGGTTGCTTTTCTGGAAGAGTCTTGACCTGGCTTCTCTCCAAGCCTTCCCTCTGACCTCCTCACCGGTCCTTGGCCTCTGGGGTCACCCCTGCAAACAGATCTTCATCTCCCCTGCTCACAGCTCACGCCCTCAGGATGAGTGTCTCTTCCCACCCCATGTTGCCACGCCCCGACGTGCAGTGCCATCTGAGCGCCCCACACCTCTGCACCTTCGCCTTGCCTCTCTGCC